GCTGTTAAGTGGTAGTGGCGCATGGTAGGTGCTTTTTAAGTCGGACCTAAACAATACGCATTATACTTCTGAATACTGTTTGGTGAAAATAAACAAGAATGGCACGGTAAAGTCAAATGGCAGACTTACAGCAATTTGTCGTTGTAGAGTGACGTAACAAAGTATGATAAAATAGAGTAAGAGGATGGGCCAGAAAACGGGCAGGTCCAAAATAGGGAAAAATGTGCATATGATGCTTAGCATGACGGCGAAAGTACAATTCTTCCTAAAAAGGGTTAGCGTTTGCAAAATATTACCAGAATTTGATTTCCGATAAAAGCCTCATAAATGGCCTAAATTCGCCGTCCGAATTAGTTGGAAGTAACGGATCAGCGTCTAGGCATAAGTTAATTTCATCCCTGCAGAGAAATTTACCTCGTGACAAACTTGGCTGAACTTGAGGGGTCAGGAAACCAAGAAATTGGCTGAGGAGAAACACTCCCAGGGCATAAGAAACGACAAAAAAGCCCTCACACGATAAGCATTAAAAATCGACACACCTGGGTTTGGACAACTCTTAAAACATAAACGGCGAGAAGAAAGATAAAAGAAAGCCAGCGGCAGGCGAGATAAGGCACAATCCGATCAAAGAAGGATTGATAGATCTTAGGCAGTAAAGTGATAAATGGAGTTTACAATCACAAATCTGTTCTGTACGGAACATCCGTACGGTCCATCTTCTGCTTCGTCCTCAGGGGCATTGCCCATGTAAATTTCCATCTCGTTTTATACAATACTATCCGACTGTTCGTTTATATTTTGTTCCAAGGAAACGGGTAATGTTATTGGGAAGGTGAAAAGGAACAAAGACAGACACGTCCCACACCTACGAACGGCTGGACTGGCGACGTCCCTACACACCAAAGCGTTGCTGTGCGATTGGTTCGATATATATGGATTTCTCAATCTGAGACGTGTCAATAAAGTATTTCTTCAAAATTCCGTAACAGGGTTAGCAAATCATTAAGACTGGGCGAGGCTGAAGTGCCACTCGGTCTAAAAACTCTTAAGGATAATCATAAGCTTACAAGAGGAGGGTTTCGGGTTTGATAGCACACTCCACCATAGCCTCTAGATAGTATGCATATCAGTCAGTGTATTTGAGGAAAATAGGCTTACGCCTTTCAATTTCCTATTTTCCTATAAAAATCTGAATATATAAAAACAACTTAAAGAAATTAGATTCAGTTGAATGCAAACAAAGTCGCCTAGTACGCTGGTGTACGTTAATCACATAGTTCATGTTGTGCTGCAGTATATATGGATGTCAAGCCAACGTTCAAATTTCTCCGCAAAGTGGGCTTGTTTCCCGACGAGTGGTATGGGCACACATCGAGGAAGTGCAGTGTCACCTGTGGTTTGGCTGCCGGAAGTATGCACCTAGTCCATCTCCACCCAGTAGGAGTGGAGCCAGGTGATAAAATTTCAAAAGTACTTACATCAACTTGTAGAAGGACGCTGGCATACCCGCAGGCCTAAGGTAAACGAAAATTTGAACCCGAAAGATTTTCAATTGCTTGGAACGTCAACTGGCGTAGTTACTGTGAGTCCCGGCGTAGACGAAGTTGTCGGTGTCGGTAGTGAGCAGGGTATGTGACCTTTGCCAAATAATTTACCCCCACCTTCTAGAAGTAGGCCAGCAACCACGAAGGCAGTTGGTTAAGGAACATGGAAACTTGGAATTGAACCAACTGCCAGGCTCGTCGGGTGGGAGAGGTGATTCTATTTTCTCTCAGCGTAGGCGCTCAGTTCAATATCTGAGGAAAATTTTTTTATATGCCGAGATAAAACCCCCATGAAACATCGGTTTTTACTCTCATTTGGAAACCTAAAGCCTAGAGCTACCTCTATAATGCCAAAAGTAGCGTTAGAGATTTGCCATCCAGCCAATGTAAGCCTATGTCCCTCTGGATCAACAACAATTTCAATTCCATTTGAGTATTCCTCCATCGACCCTAAAATGAACTGTTTGTCTCAACTGTCCCCTCAGAAGAAAGACAAGTGCAAATCGCCC